TTTTCTCGTTCTTCTCTCGTCTGTTCTTTAATCGAGCACATGTCTCCACGTCACAACGTGTCCCTTTATCGAAATTTCCTCCCCTTTTCGTCAGAAAACTGAATTACCGGGACAAGTTCGTAGCCAGGATTGTAGAGAAACCAGAAAAGTTTCAGATCGAGCAGCCGAACTTTTCAATGCTTCGACGTGCAGGAATTACCTGACGGTCCTGTAAAATATAAAAAGATCGGGTAAGTAAGGGAAATGGCTGTAATGGCAAGTAAATCTTGCTCTCGAGCAAATGTTGAATCAAACGTTGAATAAGGGACGTGGAAAGTTTCGTGTGTGTTAGAAAATGACGTTAGAAAATGATGGTGGCGATCGAAAAGGATTTATGTCCATTGATAGTTTGACATTTTATAGTTTCGTCGAGAATAGTAATATTAGATAAAATATCAAGCGATAAATCGAAGAGGATAGAAGAGGAATCTAGATATTTGAATTTATTAATTAAATTTTTACTCTTAGTTTATTACGGGTTAAATATTCGAAAGAAGTAAAACATTTGTTGGAATGAAGTAACAATAAAATTAATCATAAAATTGTAACTGTAACGTAAAATATATCTTTAACAAGTTGTGCAATTTGTTATATGTTATGCAAGAATTTATGTTATGCTAATTATATTTTGTATTTGATGAGCTTAGAAGTTTGTAACGTATCAAAAGCTCTTTCCTGGAAGATTATATGGAAAGTATCGATCAGCTATTGTATATCTATTAATTATGTAAACTTTTGAAGTTGAAGCGGTAATCAATCAGAGAATTAATTTCCACGGCCAATCGATGCATACGAAATTATTTATTGTTAAAGCATTTTCCTCATTTTTTCTGGCTTCGAACTTTTATGTCCTTTCTATATATTATAATATTTTTTTTTGTAAAATTAAATAACAACCAACCCATTAGGCGATGATAGGAAGAAAATATCTTTTTATTGTCAAAAGATATTCGACATTCTTCCTGAATCAATTTTATTTATTTTCTTCCGAAATTTATAAAAGTCTGCAATTGGTATTTTCTCTAAGATCATCGATACCAGGCCACGAATATTTGGAAGCCGATTACGAATGTGCCCCAGGATTCTATATGGTGAGCACAACAAACAGATTGTTATGCAGAAATCGTCAATGGATGGGACAACTACCAAAGTGCAAGATCAAAGCGAATTTTGAAGGTGCGTGCATCGACGCTTCCTGCGATCACGTTTGCAAAGAAATCGATGGCAGACCGATGTGTTCCTGTTACAAAGGTTTCCGGTTGGAGAATGATAAATGTATGGGTAAGTTTGCATACAATTCATACATCTTTGCTTGCAATATTATCCAAATAATAAAACAACAATTTAATTGACAAGGATTAATTTAGGTGTTGTTCGAAATTTCATCTCAATATCTATTACTTGATGAAATATTCGAATTTGATATCGATCCAATTTTCAACAAATATATTTGGGAATATTTGAAATTTTCATAATACAATATTATTAAATAATCAGTTTTAATGGAAATTATACCGATTTGATATATTCTCATAAATTGGATAACATTTTGTCACGTATTAAAGCAAACGTGCATGAAATATCTAAATATATATAAATTAGAGATTACCATGATACGTAATAAATTATTTCGAAACGTTAATCCTTTATTCTGTTAGATAGATATTAAAATGAATGCAGGAAATTTAAATGAAAAGTTATTGCACAAACATGGATGAAGTATTGAAAATATTATTTCGATTTAAATACATTTCATATGTTATGTTATTTTGTCTTATATTTTGTTTTTATAATTTTTAATTTTTTTACGATTACACGATCATTCATCAAGATTTAATAAAATTATAAAATTATCATTCGTCACGAGTATAAATATAAGAAATATATAGAATAGAAGAAATATAAAATGCAGAAACGATATCGTTTTTTCTCGGTTCTCATCAGTTGACGAGACGTCAAGACGATGAAAAAGAAATTTCTCAAGATGAAATATCGATACTCGTTGAAATATTGACAGACTCCGTTCTGCGAGGGACAAGTTCTTCCTGTCCGTATTAAAACATCAACGATTTCGTTTCAAAGATCCTTTCCCTCTTTCTTATCCCACTGCGAAACGTATCGTCGTTTTATCTCTCATAAAACTGGGGGACAGTTATAAAATTTCATTTCGTTCGTGCATTTCGAAATTAAAAGGAAGCCGGAAATTGAGACCAGTTCCTCCATTTCCATCCTCTCGTAATATCCCTTACGTTTTATCGTGAGACAGATTTTAATTTTAGAAAAGATTCATAAGTTGTTTCTGAATATTGAGTTAGTGAGGAAAGTCTCTATATATTATTTTACAAAGAAATTTATTTTAGATGAAAATTTTGAATTAAACAAAGTAGAGATGTAATGAATTATAAATGTTACAATATTTTTTTTCAAAAAATTTCAAAGATGAATTCAAAATGAAAATCCTCGTACATATTTTTATAGTTTACGAATAATTTGAAAATTGGAATATTTTATAATTTAAAATTTTATTCCCTTTCGTATTATTAAAAAATTATATTTAAAGATATTGAAAAGAATCACAAATAAAGTTTTTTTGTCGAAATTTGTTTAAATAAAGATAATTCAGGATATTCGTGATAATTGAATGCAAATGAGATTAAAGGATCGTAGGATCGGAGAACCGTGGAATAAAGAAACACAAATTCAATAAAACTTCATTAATCTAAGTTGAATGAGAAAGTGGTTTAAATCAAGCGAAAATTCGTATTAACGGTCCTTGGAAAAATTAGCTTCCAGGGGAGAGAATGTCGTTAATCTAGACGAATCGTAAAGACAGGTAATCCAAATTAGTTAAAAGTCTGGTTTAACCGACTTTGGTAAAACAAAGTTCCACTCTATTCCAGGAAGGGAATAAAAAAAATTAAAAGGATAGATTTGACCCGAATAAATTGGCGGGACAAGAAATGAAACGAGTCGAACTTTCGAGTAATTAAGTATATTTTTTTTCCTTTTTCTTTTTTACAAACGAGATTCTCTGTATTTACATATCTCTCATTAATGTTTGCCCCATTCCACGATTTCTCATTATCTCTTCTCGAATATCGCTGATGTCATTCCACACAACGTAATTTTCATCAATTTTTTAAGAAGGAATTTGAATACAATTTTTTCAAATTTGTATAAAATTTAAATGAAATTTTTTTTTTTTAATTTATTGTCCATAAAAACGATCGTTATTTTTGAATAAAAATTTTTTTCAAACCAATCATTCTTTTCGAAAATAAAATAGTATAAATTTATAAAATATCGTGTTTCCAATTTATATCGAGATATCTTATCAAAGATAATATGTTCTTTTGTAAAATTTGAATTTAACTATTCGATGTATTAAAATCATAATTAAATAGTCTCGTTGGTTATTATATTAATATTAGAGGATACTATACGTATTAAGAAATTACGTATTAAAACATTACGAAGGGATCATCGCGAGATAAATTGAGATCAAAAGCGTAGCGCTGCGTGAAATTAGCCAAATTCCAGGCATTACACGTACTCGTTAAAATTCAGATGTGAACGAATGCAAGGATAACAAGGGAGGTTGCGAACATAAATGTGTGAACATCCCGGGATCCTTTCGTTGTGAGTGCCCAAAGGGGATGAAACTAGACGAGGACAGGTTCACATGCAAGGGTGAGTTATTTGCAGAATATATATATATACACGGTATAAACCTATTATCCCTCCCCCTCTCCCTCCTTCGCTCTTCGAAAAAGCAACAAGTGTAAATCGCGAAAAAGCCTGTACACCGTAATATCGATGATTATTGGTGGAATTTCAATCGATTGTTTCTCATTTGCTTCGAAATGTTAATTAAATATTCTAAAATATTTCATTTTGTTTTTAATATTATTTTTTATCTTAATTATTTATCATTTTTCCATCGAATAAATTTATTTTGAATTATTTATCATTTATTTCAGTTTATTTTTTAAATTTATGTAATTATATGGATGGAAGGATGATGGATACGATATTTTAAAGAATATTGTGCTATGATTATCTGGTAAATTAAAAGAATTTGATGGAAGAGGTAATGTGAGGAATTATATATCGAAAAAAATATATTTATATGATGGATGAAATGGCGAAAAAAGATTAAAAAAATTATGAAAGTGAAAGATTAGATTATCTTTTTTGATAGATTATTACATCGTATTATAAACGTAGTATTGGTATTGGTAGAAAAAGATCTAAATTAATATTAAATTTCACGTGGAGAAAATCACAGCGGAAACATTAAAGGAAATATTAATATTATATCTCATATGAGGTATAACATAGAAGAAAATTTTATTGATTTTCTCTATTTTATGTCATCCAGCATCTAAAAATTATTGCTTTAATACACCAAACTACTTTAATAGATTCCAAGATATCCAATTTTAAAATCGTTTTTCTAATAACAATAATAAAAATCACTTATTAAAAAAAAAAAAAAATCAATATATTTAACTTAGTTAATCAAACTAACTAAACATCTCCAGAATAAATGTAAATAAATATAACGAGTATTCGCATTACTTTTTTTCCATTATTTTAAATTATCCAACTCAACAATCTTAACCAAGAATGAATTTATTATTATTTTCGAATTCGAACTCGACTCATCGTTAGAAAAATATAAAATTACTTCTCATTATTTCATAGATATCAATGAGTGTCTGTTGAACAACGGGCACGGGCCTTGTCAGGATACGTGTCGGAACACCATAGGCGGCTATGAATGTTCCTGCGACAGTCTACAGGACACCGTGCTGTCAGCCGACAACCACACGTGTCAGACAGCGGGTCCCTGTAGCGTCAACAACGCGGGATGCTCCCACACCTGTCTCTCCACCATGGGACGAGTATTTTGTCTCTGTCCCGATGGTTTCATCCTGGAGGACGACTGGAAAACCTGTCAAGGTAATAGAATTTGCTTACCGTTCTTTCTTTACCTTCCTCTGTTTTTTCCCTGTGAAAGAAAAATCGTGGAAAATATTGGATTACTTCTGGACGTTTTTTGAGTGATGGTTCGAGAAAGAGAGATTTTGTAGGATTTAGTATAATTTTGAACTTAGTATTGCGTAATATAGTGAATTTAATTAAAGTTTTTAAGAGGTTTTACAGTTAAGATCTATTGAGATATATGAGTTTAGTTGATGCATATTAAGATACTTATATTTAATATTGAAAATTGCAGTGATGGTTTATAATTTTTTTTGCCATGAATACCCTATTCAAATAAAGGATTTCATAATGAAAGAATAATGTATATTTTAAATAATGAAAGAATAATGTATATTTTAAAAATGGATTTAACATATATCATTTCTTTAAAAGAGATAGAATTTTGGCACAACGATAACATAAATTAAATCATATCATGAAGTAGATTTTAGTTTTTTTGTGTATTTCAATGTGTAGGTTCAAAGATTCGTGGTTTCAAACGTTTGCAAAATCGAATTGAAAGAATATCATTCTGTTCCAAGCAGAATATGTTTTAATTAGCCTCATCAGAGAAATCGAAACCGTGTCTAATATATATGTATAATGCACGGCGACATTCCATTCTTTTTTTAATTGTATTTTTTTGCCAATGCACAAAGATTTGAATCTTTAAAGAGTACGCCATCGTTAACGATATACGAGCCACTAATGGATGCTTTCTATTAATTAATAATTCGTTCTGAAAATGCTTCTTTCCTTCGTAGCCATTCATTCGAATTAATATTCCATCAATCATTTATTCTACGTAATTGATGTTCTATATTTAATAATATCTACTTACATCTATTTATTGAAATATTAAAAATTTTGCAATCTCTATTTTTAAATTCATAAACAGATATAGAATTAATATCCATGCATAATTGATGTAATTATGATTGTTTAATTTTTTTTAAATTAAAAATGCGATAGCAATAGCAATAAAATTCTTTCTTTCATTATAAATTGTTATTAAATAAAAGTTTTATCAATAAACATTTCTTATTATTGTTTCCAATAGTTTGGAAGTAAAAATATCAGCATCGAGTAAAACTCTATTTACTCAGAAGACGAAAAATTTTCTTTTCGTTATCATTATCATTCTAAAAAACAAAAATTCAAACGTTTCGCAATCATGAATGAGAAATCCTCACGTTATTTTATATCCTTTTAGCAAAAATATACGCGCTCCCCGATATTTTTCATCAACTAATTAATTCAAAAATTTAAAAAATGAATAAATGTTTCCCTATCCCATTGCGATCCCCGATAAATCCATTTTCCATATTCCATTTAGATACGAAATATCACGAAATATTATTCCTCGCACGGTCACAAAATCCTGAATAACGATATCGAAAATCAAATCTTCGGAATTAAATCGTTCGGAAACGATAAGAAGGAAAAAGGAGAGGAGAAATAAAATGCGATGCATCTCTTTTCCAGACGTGGACGAGTGCGCCCAACCAGATTTGCAAACGGAGATGTGTCGGTACGGTTGTATCAACACACCAGGATCTTATCGATGCGCCGAGCCAATGGAGTTGAAGGATCAACCGATACTGGACAGCTTGTCCATCACGTGCCTGCCGGGCTACGAAGCCACCCCCGATGGAACTTGTATCGGTAAGTGGTTTAATCCGTACGGGTGATTTAACAGGAAGTTGGATTTGCCCCGGTTAAGCCCCGCGGCGGACACTTTTCACTTTGCGAACATCCACTCCTCCCTGTAATACATTGTACCTCGGTTGCTTCGCGATTCCTGCGATTTCGAATCTCCCTTCCGAACGATTGATTTCGAATAGGGATCGATTAACAAATTAGACACCATCTTGACGATGCAAATCGGTTAAGAAGATCTTTCTCGTGGTATACGATTAATGAAATATATCAAGAGATACATTTTTTCATTATTATTACGATTTATATACGATTTATTTCGAATGTTTGGAGAATGAAATTGTAGGAAAATAATGGTATAAATGAATAATTGATCGGTATAATTTTTGTAAAAATTAAAAATGTATCTTGTTGAATCTTCCTCTTTAATCTTTAGGGACAAACTTACAGATTAAAGAATCTTTGTTTCGTAGAGAGTTTCGAACGATTTAATCATAATCAGCCAATGGTTAAAATAGAATTCGGAATTATGAATCTGTTACGTATCTATGTATCACTATGGTGTTTTCGAAACAAGGAAAGCCGGGTTCGTAACGACGATATTCTTCGGTAACCGGGATAATTGTGTTTGTCGTTCATTTCGCGGTGGAAAATTTTAGTGGAAGCAACTGATGGGTGGTACGATAACAATTCCATAGGGAGATGAGCGTCCTAACGAGATTCCGCCGCCTGGTCCTAGTCGTGCCCCATAATACCGTTCTAGACGATCCCAGTACGTAATCGAATTAACCTGCACATGGATCCACTTGGTAGGCTAGTGGGTTCTACGATGGTAATATCGGGGTCGAGATTCTGGATCATCAACTGTTGGAAAACTGTCCGATTTAATGGAAACTGGTGGCTGGTTCGATTTCCAGAAAAGATTTTTTTCCATTTATTCGTACAAATTATATTATTAAATTGATTTTATTTAATTTGGTAAAAGTATAGTAGTTATATACGATTTGGATCATCATCTTTCATTTATCGAATTATATTAAATTATATTTCGATGTAAAAATATTATATCTTAGGTTTGGATATCGTTTTCTAATTTTAAAGGAAATTTTTTAATTTTACTCTTTCAATTAAAGTATTGATCTAAAAGATTAGTTTTCTTGATCTTTATTTTTGAAAAAGTTTTGTAATGATGGTAGTTATCAGAAGAATATGAATAGTTAAATCATTTACTTTTTTTAAATCTATTTTGTTGGGTAATTGAACGTAGTTGGTCATTATTTTAGTGCAAAAGAAATTCTTTTTTCGAAGTTACTTGATTATCTTGCTACTGTTACTGTTTTCTCATTTCATGAACATATTTATTACACTATTTACGAATTTTTAACATTAAATTTTTCTTTCGATAACTCGAACGATTTCATTTTTTCAATATCTCTGCAGAAATGTTAGAAGGCCAAATAGTTCAAAATTCAGTTTACTCTTTTCGAATCTTTTTTCCATATCGTTTCTGTTTTCTATTTAATGTAAATTCTTTCTTCAATATTCCACGAGAATCGTAGAAAATCAAGGAACCAAGCATCTTCTATTTTCCTCCTCCAGATTCCTTTCCTAATTCATTGTTTTGTATTCGAAGAAAAAAAAAAAGAATTCTTTCAATATTCCATAGGAATCTAGAATGAAAGAAATTCGATTTTCTTTCTTTGAACCCTTTTTCAATTCCTCCCTATTTTCTATTCAAAACGAATTCTTTCAATATTTCAGAAAATTTGGAGAGAAGTAAATAAGAGTGAAATGAAATTCGATTTTCTCTCTTCAAATCTCCTTTTCTAATTTATGTTATATTTATTAAAACAAATCCTTTCAAAAACTAACATATAATAAATAGATAGACCAAAAATCTATAAGCTTGATGAAATTCCGTTTCTTTTCTCAAGTATCTCTTCCAATCATTCGAGCCAGATTTTGTCAAGTATTTCTCGAAGAACCGAGTAAAATATCAAGAAACCAAATGTATAACAACATTTTCCTTCTTTTCTAATTCATCTTTTCTATTTCATACGAAAAGAACACTTTCGACATTTCTCAAGAGCGAGAAAGAAAAAAGCAAGCTTCGCAAAAATTTCTTCTTTCTTTCTCCTTTCGAATCTCGTTCCTAATTTGTCGCCGTTTTATAGTTTCCATTGAGAACGAGTTCTTTTCGTGGCTCGGTGGTAACAGCCGTCGAGAGAAGTGGAATGATTTAAGGGTTCTAAAGGCGTCTCTATGTTCCTGATTACAAGGTGACAGCTCTCTCCAATTTCCCCTAGGGGATATAAAAGAAGATAAATGCGAACCGGGATGAATTAATGGAATTATGCCCGGCTCGTTATGTAATGCGCGGAGGGGTTGTTTCCGGGTGGATTGACTCGTGGAAATTAAAAAATTCGGGGTAACGATATATCGGGAAGTTTAATCGGGAATTTGAAATGAGATTTTTCAATTGGTGAAGTTGTAAATGTAATTGGCTATGATTAATTTTTTCCTTAATTATTGTGGTAAAAATGATACATGATTTTTATATTATTGGAGAAACTGTGTATAATGATATTTGATCATGTTTCTAAATTTATTAATATTATTAAGAAATTTCTCTAATAATTGTAGAATTTTTTAGAAATAATATGTTAAGAAAAATATTTTAGAATTTATGCATTACGTATATAGTGTTGTATAAATTCTAAAAACAAGAAATAATTGTATGATAATACAATAAAAATTAAAGAAATTTTATATCACAAAAATATTCATTCAAGAGAATTAAAATAAATATAATTTATGAAAGTAAGATTTGACGTTTGAAAATAATGAAAATTACAATTTAATCCATTTAAATAATGCGAGCGAAACTTTATCATTCGTAGAAAATCGAAAAATTATGGGTTTTAAAGTTTTAACAGTCTTAAACAATAAGAAACTCAGTCGTTCGACTTTTGGCAGCAATTTTGGTTTATTACTATCCAAGAACTTCCATCGATAGAGATTAATTTGAAGAACTTGTTTCGCGAATAAGTAAGGAAAAAGAATGACGAGCACCGAGGCGAAAGGAGGTCTCTTTTTCCGTTCGATCTAGAATTTCTGGCAGAGGATATCGCAAAAGTGTTTTAAAAATGCGATTGCAAGAAATTTTGAATTAGTTTCGAAGTGTTTTATCGCGAGATTTCTTATCGCAGGGAACAGTTGGTTCATTTTTTGGTAGCCTTTGATGGAACAAAGAGATTTTACTTGAGGAAAGTTAACGTTTTTTCGATCCTCCGCTAGAGAGCGGAAGTTTCGTATGTTTCTTCTTTGTCTAGTTTACTGCGAATTCGTTTCGCATTACGTCTGCTTTTTCACTTGTAATGTTCGAACGAGTGATTGCACTACTGTGGATTTCCTTCTTTTCCTTAGATAATTTTGCGAATCGATTTTCCTATTTGTTAAAATACAATTTAATTAATTTTTTAAAAATTTACAATATTCTATTTTGGAATTTATTGATTGTATGATATATATACTCTATGAATTGTGGGAATTATAACAATACATTTCGAGATATGTGTATATAATTGTATAATTGTAACATTATATTATCAATTATAAGGAAATACCATGTTATAATAATCTAAAGTGAAAATCTATTTTAACTTGTTGAATATCGAGCAATAATTTATTGTTATACGAAATAAAAAATATATTAGAATTATAAAGAGTCCATTAAACAATTTTAAGAAAAGAAATTTTCCTAAGAAAAATATAATTTATTATAATATATTAAAAACACTGTTATTTTTTCATAATTGATAAACGATTTACAAGTAAATGGAAGAGGAAACAGTTAGGAAAAAGATATTAAACAAATATTTAAAAACTTAAATGAGTAAGACATTAATAAAACAATTTACAAATTAATGTTACAATTATTAATAAGCTTATGTCTAAAATTAACAAGTGTCTGGTGACTTAGCGAGAGACTATAACCATTGTAAATATTATAATTACATAATTGTTAAGACCGGTAGTAATTTCAAGTGGACATAATTAACACGACGGAGGAAATTCATGAACAAACATGACCTTTCGCAAATTTAATTTCGAAAAAGATTCAATTAAGAATAATTTAATGAGTATACCTTAAGTTTTATTATAATTTCATTATATTATTAGAAATATTAATTATTAATTTTCGTTCATTGTTAACGAAAAGTTAAAAAAAGGTACGTTTAATATTCCAAAAATCTTTTTTATTTAAAACAATATGATTATCTCTCAAATTGTTCATTTTAAAATTATTCCGTTTTATTATATTATGGAAAAAATTGCTATTGAAAAAAGGGATACAAATCATACCACACAAATCGTTGATTGTAAGCTCGTAATTTTGGAAAAGTTTCTTCGAGTATATTATTCATATTTCATCCGGTGAACTTGTAACAAGCTCGTCTTAACTTTTCTCGATCTTGCAAAGTTTTTACGACGGCCTCGTTTCAACCGACGCGAAGAAAACAGTTATTTTGCTTTATTGTTTTCGTATTTTCATTACGCCTTGGCTAAATACTCCGAACATCGGGAAATTCATTAACTATCTCCTCGGGATTTCCATTGTTATCGTATTTTCTCCCATCTTCTTTTTCCCTTCTCCCGATTTCCGTTATCGTCCATCTGGACTTGACGTATCCTAGCCAAGTTTCACCGGAAGTCGTTATAAGTTTAGAAAATTGTTACAACAAGTAGCGTTCCGTAAAAATTTCTCTGCAAAGTACCCTTTTCACTTTTGTGGAGCATAGTGTTCGTTTTTGTAAGTATCTCATTACCGGTTAACTTTGTGCACTTTTCACAAGAGTTTGTTTTTTCTTACGTGTGTGTGTGTATCTTTTTTGTCTCTCATTTTAAATTGTAACAATGAACGCGAAGAACAACAATGTATATGCAAATATTTTCAGGGTTTCTGTACATAATTATTTATTTTTGTGTTGGAATATACAATATTAATTTTTATTTTCTTATAGAAATGTATTAAATTTTCCAATGTGTTGAATTGCAAAAATGAATTGTACGATCGAACTGATCGAACGTATCAAAATATATCTATAATTAATTTTGGTAACTAGCCAAAATATTTATCATTTATAAACACGATGAATTGTATATTTACTATGCAATAGCAAACGTATTTTATATTTGCTAAAGCAGCAACTTATAAATATGATATAATCAGCATTCTGCAATCAAACAAGACAGTGCATATTTGTGCAAATGTATTGCAGAATTATTTAATAAACTGAGATATTAGAGTAAAAAATGTTATTATAAAAGAAAAATAGAGAAAATTTCAGTAATTTACTTTTTTAGAAATGAAAATTATTTTATTATTTATCATTTTTAAATTATAATTAAAATTTATTTTCTCAATAATGAAATAATTTAAACATAATACATTATACGAATATCATTTGTTTTATTGTTGGAGATTATTTTAATAAGTTTATAATAAATATCTCGTTATTGTTGTGTATATTTCTTTTATTAACAGTTTATATAATATCTTGCCAATTAATATAATTAGCAAAAATAAAAAGAAGGAGAGATTCCAGTCAGAGAAAAAAGAAATACAAAGTAGTTTTACAAAGTAGAAGACAAAAGGTATTTCAAGAATAAAATGTTGCGTTTATATATTTATGAAACAATTTCAGACACTGATCTATTTAAAAATTGTTATTTTTATACATCGGTATCATCGTGTATATGACACATTCCGCTTTAAATTTAGATTAGTCGTTATATGATAGTTTCCAGTGATAAATGGTTGTTTGTCGTCAATGTCGAAACCACGTGTGCCAAATCAGAGAGCTCGAAGATTTACAAGCTTGATAGTGCTTATTATAATATTTCTACGCTTAGAATGTATTAGTGTGAATAATCAAAGAGAGTTTCAAAATTTAAAAAAAATTGAAAATATAATACAAGTAACTTTAATGTCATTAATAATGAAATTTTTAAAATAAAATGAATTACAAAGAACTTATGAATTTTTCAAATATTTTTTCGTAATTTCCATAAAATAACCAAAAATCTCTAAGAGAAATCGTAGAAATAGATAATTGACAATATATAGAAATCAAATGTAGAGTGAAATATTTACATAACTGTTCCAGATTTTTAAATAGTATGATCAATGGAATTATGTAATAGTAGTTGCAGCTTTATAATAGATTTTCTTCAGGCATCTGCTATACTATAACTGTTGGATCGATGTCAACCATATGTGCACACGAGGCTTATGAAGTAGCATAAAAAGCTGTCTAACTCGACTGAGAGTTCTCAGATTTGCTTCGAAACAATGAATAATACATAACGCGAAAAGTTCAACAAATCGTTGACTTGTAAACTTGCTTTGTTTCTTATCTTTTAGAATCTTTTTATGGATGAAGATTATGGTTTACCACTTGAAATTTGCATTTTGATACACTTGCTTATTTCTTCATTTTCCTCCGAAAAAAAACGAATGAATTGAGAATAATTCTTTTAAACAAAAATAATTATTTATTTTAATTTATACCCAAAGGTATAAATTTTTATCTGTTTATTCTTTCTTTCTTAAAAATATCTCTGTATTCTCCTCATTACAAAAATCACGAGAATCCCTTTATCTAATTTTACCCTTATCCTTAACACTACATTTCCATTATCATCTCTTTTCAAAACTCAATCGAAACTCAAATATTTAATTATAACAAATACATCAACGAATATTATCCAACTTCAATCATCGATTTATTCAAATCATTTATTTCTAATTCCTCTCTATATCAATCTCTCCCCCTACAATCTCCCCGCACATTTATCATTCAACGTATCACATTGAAAAATCCTCCCCGGATAAAAATTCCAAAATTGTTCCACCACGCCAGCGATTCTAAATCTTCGAGTTCCCTACTACTTCCCCTTTCCAACAAAATAAATCCAAAATAAATCCACCCCTTACATTCCCTCCACGTTCAAGAGACGTCGGGGCAAGAATGCTCGCGTAGCCAGCCATTCACAAAGGAAATCCCCCCGGCGACGAAAAATCAAGCGGGCATTGTATCGATTCGCGCGCTGAGGGGACACGTTTCGACCATTTTGTCGACCTGCGTCATTATCGCCCGCGTCCTCGTCGTCGTCGTCGTCGTCGTATCGCGAGCCACGGTGTCGTGAAAGCGGCGGAAGTCGAGCACTCTTGGCGGTCATTGAAAGCGCTCGAAGCAATCGCAATCCGGCCGACCCTTGTACGCCTATTTCGGTCAATTTAACGCCATCGGGTGGACAATTGACCGGGTCGGTGGCTGGCCAACGAAAGAACGCAGACGAACGTGTATTGTATGCGAATGAAAGGGGAGGGGAGGGTCTTCCGTCGTTTTCAAATGTAGGGAGGCGAGGGGAGGGGTGAAAGGTCAGGGCGCGTTATCATAGCATCGTGTAACATCCGCGTCGAGGAACTTGAACTTTGCGCTGATCGATAACAGCTGGTTATATCGTGGCGAAAGGGAACGCTCCCGTTAACCACGCGAGAATAATGGTGATACGGTGGTCCGCCACGTCTCTATTTTCGCGATCAATTCGAAATTGTTCATTGTACACGCATTTAATACGTATCGAAATTTAAACACGATGATTGGATCGTTATTTCGATCGTTTGTTAACGTTAAATTGGTAGAATTAATTTTTAGAAAGTGTGTTTTTAGAAATTCGGATACATCTTTTTCTTTACATTCTATGTCATTGATCAATTTCGAATTTATATTTATTGTTAGAGAATTTATTGTTAGAGAAAATGTAGGTAAATAATGTTTTGCATAATGTATTATACAAATTCAAATGTTGTTAAGTTGTAATTGTTAATGTTGTCATTTAAAAAAAGAGATACGTTCCTCTATTAAAAATAAATTCTTGTTATGTACTTAGAATAATATCATTAAAAATCAATTTAAGAAGCGCACATTCCATTAAATCGATGATTAATATCATGCAACAACAAATGATTTTCATATAATTTTTTTCCTCGAATATTTTGCAACTTTTGCTCCACTCATCTTGTAAAATTCTAGTTTATATGCTACTAGTCCTCTTTTCATTACAAAATCATTTGTAAACTCGGCACGTCACGGTCGGTTTTAAAAATTTTATAAATTACGATGGTGGAAAGGGAAAAGTGAAATATTCCGTTCGCGTAAATCCTGAGCGTTTAAATGTAACAATGTCCTGTGATTGTTTATCATGCGCCATATGTGATATTAATTCTGCGTATTTTTTGTGCAGATATCAATGAGTGTACGGTTGACAACGGTGGGTGCACAGAAGTCTGCGAAAATACGGATGGGAGTTTCTTCTGCGCCTGTGACGGTGACGAGAAAGCTCTATCGTCGGATGGCAAGTCTTGCGTGGGTGAGTTTCTCATTTTGTAAAGAATGTTTCATAATTTTAGATTGATGGAAAGTTTTTAATATACATAAATTGGTTTTTTTTCTAGCAAATATTGATTAAATAAGGGAAGAGATTATTAAAGTATCTGACTAAGATTTGATATTAATTTTTTCTTATTTTTAAAAAAAATTTTTGAAAGAAAGTATTGCCAGATTTATTTTTGAATATTTATGGTTTTATTTCACAATAAATACTCGAATATATATCTAATGTATAACGATGATATATTCATAATTCGTTTATGATTTAATATTATGAAGAAAAGGATTAATGAGCATTTTGATTATACTTTCATGTTCTTATTGATACATTAAATAGCTTGTTAAAATTGTTATCAAAAATTTCATCGTCGGGATTAGGAATCGATTATACGATAAATTTATTTGATTCAGAAATAATTCTGAAACATTTACAAATCAACAAAGAAATTTTTTCCAAGTGATTAAAAGCCTATCATATTTAAAAAAAGAAAAAACATTCGAATTAAAACGGAAAAATTTTTCAAAATTCTTCAACGAAAAAAATTCAAGAAAATTCATCTTCATCTTTGAACCTTCATTCACTAAGAAAAGAGTTAACCATTTATCGAACAAGAAACGTTTTCTTCGCCATCCATTATCGTCTCGTATCAAATCGCCCAACAATTTTGATACATCCTGTACTTGTCGTCCCTCGAAATGTTCCCTTTTCTTCGGAGAGAAGTTTCGGAACTCCTTTTCATTCGACTACTCGTCCCATCCTCGAGGATCATACATCATTCGCGCGTCTGGGAAACGCAATATGTTCCACCAAGAGGCGGGGGAAAATTTCTCGGCTATGTAATAATGCTATCATGGACACACACGTGACGAGAAACGTTTTTGCGATTAATACTTACACGGCTGAGTAATACTTCCCTTTTATCCGCGGGACAACTACAAATTCACCCGCGTTTCTTGCAGTCGGATTAATTCATGCCTCGAGGCACTTTCTCACTAGGATGGAATGAGGAAATCTGAATTGCGTGTTTATCTTTTAATAGTGTTTTTGATCTTCCAGATTTTAGTAGATACTACTTATAGAAAAGATAGTTTCTGTAAAATTAAATTTTTAAGAGTTTTGAAGTTTCTTTTTTTCTTAGCATATATTTTAAAACTTATACTTTTGTTGACTTTTTACATCTTATTTTTTTTTATATGTATTATATTTTCTTCCATTATAAATTTATTCTTATTTCAAAATTAATACGAAACGCTGTAATGTAAATTAATGAATGAGAAATTTTGTGAAATTTAAATATTTTTTAATCTTAATTCCGAATTTTTTTCGTTCATTATCGGAATTACCTTTACATAGTATGAAATATTATTTGTTGAAAATGAAAATTACCATAAAATTATCGAGTAAAAATTTCTGGAAATAATATGGAAATCTATGTGATAAAATCAATGAAAATAATAATTTTAAAATTAATTTTTAAAATTATTTGAGCATCAAAAATATAATCAAATTCTTTTGATTTCAAACATCGCTATAAATCAATTTTTGTTACAAAAAGAAATGTTTCTATGTTTCATTTCACATTATTTCTTGTCTGCATGACGAAGTTAACGTGTCTATTTTTTCCCCTCTCACTTCATTGAACCACTTATGTATCACATATCGTACATCGCTGTCGATAATTTTTTTCAAGATGATTTAGAACGTTTTCGCTCTGAGAAATTTCTAAACGATTAGTTCTTGATTTATCGAATATTTCTGCTACTGAAATTTTCTGATTTTAATTTTTATCTTCTTTTTTCTATTTATTTTATTAGTTTCATGTTGAAGTAGATTTGAATTGACTTTATATAAATTTTTTAAAGTTATAGCTACATTAATTTTTATACAAAAACATATTTTTCCAGAAGTAAACAGTAATTTATCTTAAAGCTCGATTAAACCTTATTAAAATTAAAGAAACTTCAAAGCGTTATAACTCGGGAGATATTCATTTCTAATTAATAAATGAAAGATCATTCGAGACGCGAAACTTTGCTTTTTAAAACGCATTTTCATTCGTCCTGATACGACTTTCGGTTCTTAAGATATCGTCGTGTAAAGGAAAGAATAATTTTTGGTTATTTTACTATCTGCGTCCTCGTCGCCTTACTCGGATCTCTTGCTCGCACTTCTTCTCGCTGACCTATTCCAAATTCCAGACCAATGACAGACTCGATTCCTGGAAAAACGTAGTACACGATTCTTGGAAGAATGTAGTACGTATTTCCAAGAAAAAATATAGGTCACCGAGTTGCAGACCCATTCATAATCTCTGCACGTCGCGCTATGGATACTTTAAGTCTTTATATCTCAGCAACCGATAAAGATATCGGGATGAAACAAAAAGGAGATTCAATGGTATGATTTTCTCCATCTCTCGAGTGTGTTTTAATGACAAAATTTTAAGTTTCTTCTTGCACTTTTTATATCGAAAAATCGAAGTCTCATTTGTGATTCTGTACGAATGCAGTGGTTTATTATTAAAGGCTTAAGTTTATCTAATTTCACTTCTAATTTAAATGTACAAAATGATCTTTGCATTGAGTTGTAATATAATATCTTATGGAGACGATAGAAGACAAGATTATTGCCTGTCATCGATATTTCTTTGAATTGATATTTCGGAGAAGCTAAAGTTAGTTTTTCAAATTAAATCAAAATAGTTTCCGTTTAAAAAATTATTTTGAGTCTCGATTCTTCTTCCAAATCCATCAAATTTTTTAATTCTTCATAAAGGACAAAGAATAAACTTCTCGTTATATTTTTCTCTAGCATTGTACTCGATTTTTCAAACGTAATTTTGATCGATAATAGAATGAAATTCGACAATTATCGGTTCGTCGGGAAATGTAAACCATCGTGGCGAGACGGAATAACTGTGCAAACAATCACAATCTGGGTCACTTGATTTCATATTCTCGGAGAAACTTGTAAAATATTAGCGTGCACCTTTATCCAATGCAAATTTCACGTTGGAACTTCTTGTGTCTTTCTTATTGTTTGGTAAGTTTATGAAAACGAGAAAGTAAACTCGTGGAACAAAAATTTGAACAAGTTGGAAAACGAAATCGGAATAATACGGAGAAAGTTGAAATTTCAATTTCATAAGGATAGAAATGTATTTCGAATTAACCGGTGTTGTTTCCTCTTTAGATTTTGCATATCGTATAAATGGATGGGAAGATGAAGAAATTTTATAACAACTACGATGCATCGTGGTTGTGTAAATCAATATTTAAAATAAAAACGAAGTGTCGAATTTATATTAGAATTAAATTGTGATTATTAAATCTTCTATAAATATTGTAAAATTCTAATTTATCCTTTAATAGACTAATAAATATTTATTAATTATCATAGTTTTCTTTACTGATAATTTTTTGAACAACTATATCTTCAACAATTTTTTTAATTTGCTCGCATTTAAAAATCAAATTAACTTTCACTGGAATGATTCATATCGTAGGATTATTTGTTTAGAGTGCACGTTATAGGGCTTAGATATACAGATACCAAGCAAATCGACGTTGCACTCTCTTAATCCTTCTGTTGCTAACGAGGGCTTTACTCGTCATCTATGAAGCGGTCTAAAAGCATTAACGTTGACTTAGTTCTTAGTCCGAAAGCAGATTCCAAATACCAGAATTAACCATTACTTATACGTTTAGATTTAATAACCACATATTGATACGCGTTAAATTTATTTCTATTTCATATATTATGACAATTCTGCTATTCGAAATGTAGAATGTGTAATATATAACTGTTTGATCCATACAAAGATTAGAGGAATAGGAAGCCCGTTTTTGATGATTTGATTACTGACTTGAGAACACAAATTTGATAAGAGGAATGATGTAGTCACTTCTCTCAGAATCTTGAAAATTGATACCAAAATTTAGATTAAAGTTTAATTAAATAAAGAACATTCATTTAATAATTCTAAATTTAAATAGAAAAAAAAATAAAGACGAAAATAAATTCTTGGAATCCTCTTCACAACATCCGGAATTCAATAATGTAAATCAACCAAGGGGAAAATTGCAAATGTTGTGCGAACACGAGATTGCTCCTTAATGAGTTAATCGATATCGGAATTGGCGATTGAAACCGAGGTATTGCAGATATTGCGGATCCGCAAGATTTTCCATTGTCAAGTGGATCTGTTTTACACTCGAAAATCCAGTTTTCCATTGAAACAATTGAGACAATACTAGCTTCCCCTGTGCAGAACCGTCACGGATCTGATTCTTGCAAATGTAACACCGACATGTGTCTACCCCCACCACGATCGTTATTAACATCCATAATTCGTATATTAGGGTAGTAGTCATGGGGAATAATAGGAGCAGGCACGGAGTGCAACGCTTGGGCGATGTCGCGAGATCGACATCTCGGTTACGTCCTTGCTAGACTGGATATTAACAGAAATGATGATGACAGAAATTACCTTGATTTCGGGGTAAATTCGTGGCAGGGAAAGTCTGGCTAATTGTAAATGGATTAAAGAGATTCGCAAGTTCGTATCGATGATCGGTGTTACAAGAATGGAATAGGAGTCGAATGTTTGATGAATATTCGAGAGATGTGGTGTTTATAGGTTTTTCTCTTTTTTTATTTTCAACAAATGATTCCTTTCTATATAGAAATAATATAACTTGAAGAATTTCTGGTTTACATTACATGAATGTCGTTTTACATTTTATAATTTATTTTGTAGAGATTAAAGAAAAATATTATAATAATATAATAAAAATAAGAAAGATTATAAACATTTTACTTTCTTTAAATCTAGTTCAATTAAATTATAAATTAAATCTTCAACTGAAAAGAATGTGGCATTTAATTACATTATTTTCTCGGTTATTTTTTATATTTTATAGAAAATATGATTCGTGAAATTCACTTAAAAAGACAATATATTTCAGGTATAGAGTAATATCTTTTCTTATTTCTCGTGATTTAGGTCGATTTGTCTTAGAAGACGAAGGAGGGTTAAAGATATATAAGCTCACGTTTTAAAAAAATGTTCGTTTTCTAATAACACAGCCTTAGGACAGACTTCGATTTTTCTTTTCCAGATATAAATAATGTATCCTGCCCACCATTGAATCCGGAGGGTCGAGGATATTTAATGTGTTCACGTTTAGCTACTCCAAAGCCATGGAGAGGTAGACGAAGAGTGGCCAATCGACCAGGTACCAAATGTTTCTTGAAGTGTCCCCATGGGTATCAACTTCACGGAGAATACGAATTGACTTGTAGATCGGATGGTTCGTGGGACGGCCCAAAACACGGCGAGTGTGTCAGTAAGTAACAAAATTTGTTTTATTTTATTTTTTTATTTTAAATTTGGAATTATAATTTATACGTGAAATTAACAAAAATTGATTTGTGCAGCAAATTTTATTTAAAATGACAGTTGTTAAAATTTAGGAATATTTCTAAAATTAGACTTTCTAATCTATTTTTTCACGTGAAACGCAAAGTTAGCTTAATAATTAACAATACTATATTATCAGCTTGAATAATTAAACATATTGATATGATCAAACATTTGAGTCTCCATATATATTTAGTGTTTGCATAGCATTATCGCAGTCTACGTCTTTCCACCATTCTGATTCTAATTAAACACGGGAAATTTGTTGATTTAAAGTACAAAAATTTGTACTTCATTTTAAGAAGAAATAAAAGAAATACATGTAAAATAACGAATTTATAATAAAGACTTAATTTTATTTACTTTAAATTTTATTTTATAAGAATATTATCAGGACGAGATATATGTATTAAATAATTAAAATTAAAAGTGAAACTCATTAAATAATATTATTTTAATATCATGTAAGTACACATATATTTATTTCTCCATTTGTTGTACAATCTATCTCTATCACTATCCCATTCTATTTATTATATCTTACTTCTTCTAACGTCAACATAAATAGTTTATAACTTGAATCGATTTTCCAAAATTCCATCCATCTCGAATATAAATTCTGAAAATAATTCAAAAATATTAAGAATAATTTAATCGATTCGCTATTACACGTAACTGAAATTCACGATTGATTTATATCTTGACGTCTTCTCTCAACTATAGTATCATTTTATTAACGATTTCTATCTCTTACCTTTCGTTGCAGGATACAGCAAGCCTCGTTTAGAGTGCCCTAAAGACGTGGTCGCGGAACTGCCACCAGGGAGAGACGAGGCTTTCGTGACGTTCGATCAACCCTCGACAGATCTCGATTGGTTCCGGTACGTTCGATCGAAACCCTCCTGGGGGACCAGGCTGGAGGCTAATCTAACCCCGGGTGTGCATGAGATCACGTTCTTCGCGAGACACCCGGTATCGAAGAAGCAAGCTAGCTGCGTGTTGCGCATCATTGTCAAAGGTGATTAATTAATGGCCTGTGCATGAAATTGATCCGTGAAATCTAAACTCGCCAATGATCGGTAATGATCGTTAAACCCTTCTATTAATCAATGGGGGTGGATCTTATCCTGGTCGATAAAACGGACAACGATTAATTTTCCTGGGTTTAAGGGACTGTTGAGGGTACGTATAATGATGTATTAATCTTCTTTCAAATGACATTCTGTTTCTTTTAGGTATTTCTATGAAATCGATTGATAATTCTTTTTTTTTTAAACTTATTATCGATAGTATCGATTAATTTTTATTATTAGTAAGTAGAGTAGATTTAAAGGTTTATAAATAATTTATACATATTTAATTAATCAAGATGGATATCGCATGAAAAATCATCTTGAAATAATAAGAAAGCATCCTTTTTATATGTTATTCATATGAAAACGGTTGATATGTAATAATACGAAAATATTCTTTAAAAACTATTTTTAATTAAAACAGGAAATCCCTGTATTTGACATTTGATCATTTATCGTAGATAATAATTCGTATTCATTTTACCGTCTTCATATTTAAATTTCATCGATGTTACTCACAATTTTGAGAAACTCGATACATTATCGCTTTAAATCATCCTTTAAATCGAAGAAACTCCATTTCCTCGAACTCATTTCCAAAACATTCAAAAACCTTCCCTTCCTCTTTTTCCATTCCCCTTTTAATTAACCCTTCCTTCACCTCCCCCTTCTATTTCCACACCATAGCAAAACGAAATCCTTTAAATTGAACGAAGGAACTCACCCCGCCAAGGAAAAATTCCGAAACGACGATTCGAGATGTGGGTCGACGTCAGACCTCTCCTCTAGAAGTGGAAGAAGGTTTCGCGTGTTCCTGACTGAAAACCTATTACTGGAATAGCCGTGAGCCCATTCACCCCGCATTTTCTCCCGACTTAATGCGTCATTACGTGTTTTCGCGTCGAGCGTGTCGCTTAAAAAGCTTCCGGTGGCGGTGGCCATTAACACGATCATCCAACGAAAGTTAGATTCTAAGATGCGCGGGAATGCGGTACGCCCTTTCATTAAAATGACTCTTAAAGCGCGGCATTCGATTGTCTCGACTTACCAATGGAAGAATGAAAACTATAGTCTGTGTTCAACGGGAGGAATAATAGAATGCATTTGATCGATCGTGCACGAACAGAACTATAGAATTTTAACGATTAAAGTTAAAAATAAAGTTTTTTAATTGGAATTCTTTTGGATAATTTATTATTCAAAGGATAATCGCAATTAAAATGATAAAATAAATATTATCCAATTATTATAAATACAATATATATTTAAAATGATTTTATTCAAAATTTTAATTAATTTTTCAGCTCAACTCTGACCACGCATGTTTTGCCAGATATTTCCACTTGATGCATAGATGCTTTATACCTGACAATATTAATTTATATTAATTCAATAATCGTGATCGTATTACGACAAAATTGTGGATAATATAAAAATATAAAATTACTTGTCGCATTTGACAAAAGACTAACTAACTAACGTGCCAGTACAGTGCAGATTAGAAATAACGTTATAGTTTACATTACATAACACCATCAAACAGATTAACAAGTATGAGAAAAGTGTGTTACACGTACAGTGGCTCTAAAGATACGAAACAACATTAAAAGGAAATATCGTTTGTCTCATTTCCTTGAACATGGTACATCTCCTCTAAGTTTGGAGCAACCATTCCATGAAAATCTGCACGCAAAGAAGGAACGTTTCTTCTTCTTGCTTAGTCTGGACGAAATCTCAGACGGTTTAATTAAATGCGTTTCCGGGATAGGGTTCGCCGCAATGGTGTATAATCTAGGGATCGTTGGCCCACGAATTAGATTATTCGATGAATCCCCCTCCGAGTGAACGCTCGACTGATTCTTCCTGGAAACCGCTGAATCCCCTAGCGAGAGTATGCTCCCTTACAACGTTGTTTTTCCCTTGGATCGCGGGCTTTTCGGATTAATGAATATCGAGCAGATATGTAGACGTTTCAGGTAACGTTTTCCGCGTGAATGGATAGGAGAAATGGGGCAACAAATTGGGATGCTGTCGAGCGAGCTATGTTGATTGGAATAATTAGGAGGGCGGTTTGAATGAGGGAGCAAGTGTTTGAGTGATTCGCGTGTAGGAATAGATGAGTATTATAGGTGTATACGCGTTGAGCTTCTTTTGATTCCATTTTGGTAAGTATTTTTCGTCTTTAACGTTATACGTAGAATTTCTTTTTTTTTTTTTTTATTTTTTAGATCTTTTAAACGAGGAATGATTTATACAAAGTTTGAACGATGATGATGATGATGAAGTGAAAGATTATTTAGATGAAAAACTTGGATGAAAGAGATTTTATATTCTGCGAGGTTGATTAATTTCATAGAATTTATTTAAAATTATCTTTCTAATTTTTTAATCCGTGTTATTTATTTATTATTTAATAATAATGATATTTGAGACTTCATTTTATTTATTTCAAAATTATTCATGCTTTACAAAGCAAAAGATATGGAAAACAAACATTTTTCTATCAAACACAATATTTGATAGCTATTATTCTATCCTTCTCTCCAAATTCTTTTCAATCAGTTGTTCTAAATAAATTTGGAACGATACGTACTTCAATCAAAATTATGTCACCATCGTTTATCATCATTGTCGCGTTTTTAATTAGCAAAGTGTAATTAATAAAACCGAGTCGTCGAATTACACGATTAATAATTTTCAAACATTTCGCGTCGACAAAACTCTCTCGTTTGCTCTCTATCCGTACCAGTTGTAATTTCACCCTTCATTTAACTTTTTCCCTTCTTTCCATTTTTCCTTCGTTGAAATGAAAATGTTTTTGCGTTAAAACGACGTACTTCGCAACGTTGGTAATTAAAAATGGAATTGACTGGGTTTAAAGGGAGAAACGGGATTAAATTGCCGCTTAATCTACATTACTCACAATGATCTGAAAGATGTTTAAAAAATCTATGTAAAATCGTACGTAAAAGATCATCTTTTTGTTTTTCACGTCGACGTTAACGAGCTTCAAATTTAATTTAATGCATGCGAGCGAACGTAATCGTATTTTGTCTTATTAACTGGAAATTAATATCATTTCGAGGCAAACAAGACGTGGAACGTGATCGTTTAATTGCTTTCTCAATATAGACTAACGTTCGTATTGTGCTTGTTTTTATTAAAACAAATTAATTTGATTGAATTGAAATTATTGCCACGATGTCGTGTGTAAATTATGTATTACGTGTAAATATTCGATGAATGAATTTGATTAATCTTTAAAAATTTATTTAATTACGAATTTATGAAACATTATAATATTTAAGTTAAGTTGTTAAAACAATAATTACTTCTTCATTTTTAATCTTCAAATAAATTATCGATTGAAATAAAATTAAATTTTTAAAACAATAATTACAATGATTCGAATAATTGATCGTATATCAAATTATTTTTATTTTTATTAAACAAACTAAATTTATTATTAAATAAAAATAATATTTTTTTGATTTTCGAGATTATTTTCTAATATTTATTTCAATAAAAAATACTTCATATAACATGATTTTTCTCTATAAAAATAATTTCGTTTAAAATATAAATACGATCAATTTTCTCAATCATTGCAGACATTTTTCTTTTTTAATTGTTAATTAACTGCGAATGAAAAAAGAATTGTAGAGTATACAATAATCATTTTTTCACGTTTTATTTGTCAATCAGCTGCAGATGAAAAAAGAATTCAATTACAGAAACGATAATTGTTTATCTATTTTTCATTTATTTCTCGTTATTCATAGATTAAAAAAATTATAGCCATCATCTCTTTTGTGAAACGTTTCAAAAAGTTATTCGTTTCTTTAATCTTAATATTTAAATTTCTTCGCTATATCTATATGAAAAGCATCGTACATGGAATAAAAAAAAAAACGATTTACTGTATAACGATGATCATGCAAGCAAACCGTTATTCTTTTCTTATCACGAAAAAGGAAGGTAAATAAAAAAGAATGAAATATAATAGTCTATCTAACCCGGAATGAAGTTGCTATAAATGCAAAAATCCATAGTTACGTGGAAGATATGCAACGAATATATTTTACTGCATGTGTTTTATATCACAAGGATTAGATTTTTGCGAAAGCACGCATATTTTATAACATAACTTCATGATTAGGCGTGGATAAGAAAAAAACGAAAAATGAAGAAGTCGTTCATTTTCGAAAAAATTCAAGTATTGTAAAATTGTTTTTAAAAAAAAATTTTCTCGAGAATAATTGGACTCGAGAAACTACCTCTTTAGATTTCCATTTAGATAGCATTTCTAATATTTTTTACATTTCTTATTAATATTCCTGAAAATAATAACAGTCCATTAATAACAATGATACAAAATGATAATTTCCTTAACAGATAATCTTTCATAATTTTTTCTAATTTCTTTAATCCATATTTTATTCCTTAAAACGTACACTAGCATATATTGTAAAAAAAAAGTGGTACCTCGATTATTTTCTATATTTTTCGTTATATTATCGCAACTATCAGAATTCTTTGTCAGAATATTTTGTAAAAGTCATTGATCAACCATACCACACTTAAGCGTTAATAAGCTCTCTTATTCACCAATATTCGAATATCGAATCGATTAAATCTCTCGGTAACTACACACATCTAATTCGCATCCAATCGTCATATTATCCATCGTATATAACGCAAGATTAATTCAGCGCATGACAACGTGAATTGCTATAATTCATGCAACATTAACGATTCGCTTTCTAAAGCAATTAAACGCGTTAATATTACAGGTGATCTTTCCGCAAACTGTGCTTGTTTCCTCTCACCGTGCAACAGTTTATTCCGGTTTGGCGTAAATTGAACGTAAAATATAATTTGCGAAATATTTCGCATACCATTATACGCACGAATGTTCGCGTAATGGAATTATTTCATTTTTGCGTATTATGCCTTTAGGGTGGATGATATAATGGTAATTCCAAGAGTCATAGATTTTGATCAAAGAAATATCTAATTTTTCATTTATATATGTTTCATTCAGTAAAAATTTTTTTTTTTTTTT